CTCGGGATTTCCTGAAGCTGATTTTTATTGAGGCCAAGCTGCGACCATCTGCAGATGAACTGCTAAGGCACACATTTGCACATTATCACTAACAGCCTGCCTCAACCCAGCTTGCATCTACTGCATTTATTTTCTATTTGACTGCACTTTTATTTTTTACAAAAAGGAGCGAGAAGACAAGAGAGAACCGTTCTCTTGAATCTGTTTCACTCGGATTGTAAACAATCTAAATTTTGTATTTAGGATGAGGATCTTTTCTCCCCTACCAGGACTAGAACCTTTTTATTTCTACAGTGTACTGATGTGGTCCGCATAGATAAAGCACTTTAGTACTTATTTGTTCCTTATTTGAGGGGAAAACAAGGACAAATGATTTGGACTCTTGAGAACTGTGTAACTTTTTCTAGCACCCTGATTGACTGAGGGTGGAGGGAAAATACACGTGCAACAAGAAGACAGGGAGAAGAAAATTATTGATCTGTGATTGTCCTTTGTACTGTAGGTAGTTACTACTGAGGGTTCTACGTTTTGTTTTAGCTTGTTAATCAGTTTTCTAAGGCTGAAACCCGCAGATGTGGAAACTAATTAGGATGCTGAAACAACTTACAATCCTCAGCAAAGCATGCTCTGCACAGCAGAGCTCCTTCCTAGCACTGCCTTTGTGACCAAAAGAAAACAGCAGACCGGAGCATAACCCTAATTTGCAAGTAGGGGGGAGAAAAGGTTGGGGTAGAGTTGTTACCTTACTGTAACGAAATGAGAGTAATGGGTAAACGTATTGCAGATCCACACTCTTGGAGATGACAGTGCTACAAGGGGAAGTCTCCATAATACAGGAACAAAAAAGTAACCAAAAAGGTCTCTTGTTTGATCAGAACAGCAGATCAGGAAGACTTCTACCCTGCAGCTGCCAAAGATACCTCCTTACTGTATAAGTTAAGAGTGGCTTAAGTCAGTTCCCTTACATAACACTTAGGTGCAAAGGAGTGCAAGAGAGAATTCCCCTCTACAATCTACTGAAGAGTAAAGGAAGAAAACAAATCCTTGCCCTCTGTATGAATCATGACTCGGAAGGACCTATAAGATGCAAGAGGACAAGTGCCAAAAAATGCAGTTTATTTTCTTGCATATAACATGCCCCCGAATATAATACACACCTTATTTTTGACAGGTTTTATGGAGAATTTTTTCCCCAAAGTTACAGTTGCAGAGAGAGCCTAATCTTCAACTGACTCACCCTCTCTTTTTCCTGCTAAGCTAAAACCCTAGCTTGTGTTGAAGGACTGGTCTTGGATGGACCTTTAGTCATGAAGATAATTAAAAAGCTGTGAAATGGAAGACCGGATCGGAAGCCATGGCAGACAGCAAAATTCCTCTAAGAAAGGCTGGCTTCATTAGTGGAACAGCAATACCATTGAAAAGGAGAGATGATCTTTAACACCTGTGAAGTGAAGAACAATGGGCCATTGGTTCCTTCAGCTGCCTGAAGAGTTGGTGTCCGAGGTGCTGCCCTGTGGAGCAGGGATCAAAGCAGGGTGCTTCTATCCCAGGTGAAAAATCAGCTTCCTCACTTAATACATGCATCCCAATTTGGGAGGGCATAATTTTAAGGGAAAAGGTGTGTGTTGCATGCAAGAAAATCTAGTACGTGCAAGATTACATGTCTGAATACAATAGCCCTGTTTCAAACTGTTTTCAATTAGATTGTTTAATTACCTGGTCTGGTCACCTAAGATGTCTGCAGAGCTCCTGAGATGAAAGTAATTCTAAGTTTAAGCATTTCAGGCCAGTGAGTTAGTGAAAAGAAAGACTTCTCTGGTTATATTTCTTGTCCAGCACCAGTGATAATAATGCAGCTTTAAATTTGTACTTTCCTAGGCAATCCTTGATGTTTCTATATTGATTGCTCACAAAGTCAGTGGATTTTTAAAACCTTTGCTCTGAGTCTTCAGAAAAGAAAACATTCCCCCAAGAAAACTGGAACATTTTAAGCTGCACGTGTGACCCCAGCAACGATACATTAGCACAGAAACTTTTGAAAACAGTCTAAATAAAGAGCAGCAGCATGTAGATCAAACTAAGCTTTGAATATTAAAGAAATGGCCAAAAGTGCAAAAAGAAAACATGACTGAACAGGATGAGTCTCTGATTTTAACAATCCAGATCCAACTGTAATCTGAGACAATCGTATCAGGTGTATTCATCTTTTCTATCTCAAATAGAGAATGATAAGTGAATACAACACAATTCTGAGACACTGTCACAGGGTCCTTGAGAAATTCTGGGATTGTGTATTAATGGATTTCACTACAGAACAAGGACCTGAGGACTGAAGTTTGATGCATGCTGGTAGAAATGATTCAAGATTGCCTCTTTCTCTCCCTGTACTTAAACTAAATAGGTTGCTACTTCAGCCCTCAATCTGCACTGACAAGGTCCTGTAAAATGGTCCCAAGGGTCCTCTTTGCCTTATATCCTCAAGAGGACTTATTAAAAGCTTAAGGTGTCTGAAAATTGAGAAATAATTTGTTGGGACTACAGTGATACGTGATACCAATTTTCATCTTCCAAATCTTGTATCAGAAGCATAACTAGGAGTCTGGATCTCTCCTAATCAGTTTACCTCTTGGGGAATAACAGCTTTGTTTTTTCCCCCATTTGGGCCAGTGTCATAAGATTTGGGGCCGGTGGTCTGTTCCTGTGGTCTGTTTTATTATTTAGCTTATTGTTTTGTTGGTCAGGGTACACAGCAGTACATGGTTTATACACATGGGAGGAGAGTGCTTGATCAGGGAAAAAACAGGCCAAAATTAAATTACTTTGGATTTGCTTCCTTTGGCCTCCTTGTCATGAGAGGAAAGCTCCAGAAGCCACCGATGGGAAGAATCCACCTGCAGCTCTCTGCTGTAAACGATCTGTTGTTCGTAAGCAGTGGGGAAAGGAGGGAAAGTTAGGTAGAAAATAATATTTACGTAGCGTACGAATCATGTAATTGAAATTAATACATTTCAAACAGATAAAGAAGGTACCAAAAACCAAGCTGAAAAAATAATATATATGTATCAGTGAGTAGTGGACAACGATAGCTAAAAGGGTTAGAAAATTATTTGTTACCAAAAAAACAAAAATGGATTTTAAAGGGAAAATATTATCAGGTTTAACTGCAGCACTCATAAATTTTAAAGATGCTCTTCTCAAAAGAGACAGCACTCTCTGAAGCTTGCACTTTTTCAGAATCTAGAGATCTAAGGGTATATCCTGTTTGCAAGGCACAGCTAGCTCCAAAGTACCGCAGTATCATTTTCTTGCTGTGACTGGAAAAAGCAAACAAATGGAGACTGCTGCTTTTGTGCCTTTTCTCAAAAACCCCACAACACAACAACCCCCTGCATTCTGTCCTGACAATGGTAGGCTTGTTTGGAATGGAAAGAGAGAACTTGCAGAATAATGTGAGCTTTTTGCAATATTTGAGGTAAAGCTGCTTCCTTAAAATTATTGAACGTGAATATAATACCTCATTAATGAAGGCTAAGGTCATCAGGTTGAAATGTTTATAATTAAGATTTTTAAGTGAATGAGGAGGCAGACTGAACTGGTTCACCCTTTGGAGAACCTCTGCATTGAGCTAAGAACTATTTATCTACAACCCTTATTAAAACAGAAATACTTATTTTGAACTTAAAACATGAATGATTGAAGCTGAACAAACTCTCTCTTTAAAGGGTTGTACATTCATCCCCTTGCCTGTGCTGCATTTTAGTATAGAAGAGTTTTTACTTTATGGTACAATACATCCTTGTATGTCTGTGAGGATCTGACCTACAGCGGACACTGAGAGTAACAAACCTTCTCTCTCTAATTCCAAAGGTGCCAGGAGTTGCATGATTCAAATCTCATTAGAGATTAGGGCAGGGGTGGGCAAAATGGTGGATCCGGCTGGCAGCCAGACTCCCCTTTCCCAGCAGCCCCTTGCCCACGTTGCTGCGGCTGGCTTCCATGGAGATCAGAACATCCCTGACTGGCCCACGCTGTCACTGCCACAAGCTGCAGCCCCGGCCCTGGAGCAGGTCCTTGCCCAGGCAGTGCTGCTGGGGCCGGTCCCTAAGGAAACCCTGGCCCTGGGCCCTGCGCTGCTGGGATCTCCATGGAAACTGGCCACAGCAACACAGGCTGGGGCTGCTGGGAAATGGAATCTGCTGCAGGCCTGATGCGGGCTGGACTTTGCCCACCCCTGGATTAGGTCATGGGGCAGGATTCCCATGTAAACACCAGTTTGTTAGCTTTGATTCAGGCTTCTGGTTGGGAAGATGATGCTCATTAGTTTTAAGGCTGTGCTTTCCCAAAAAAGCTAGGTGATGGGAAATGTAGCATGAAAAAAAGAGTTCTACTTTTACATCTAGAACAGACTCTACTGCTTGCATCCATAAGCTATTCCATTTTATTTTAGTTTTAATTTTACATTGTAGCATTTCCATTCAAGATAAATTGAATTCAGTTTTAAAGTGTTCTTTTAGTTATATTAATAAATAATAATTTTAATATTTGTTTCCTTAGTTAGAACCTCTTTATCTATGAACCTTAAATTTATTCATGTTAATAGATGCTATATTTATAGGATAGCTCTATCTCATCAGTCCATGCCACCAAAACAACCCTTAAAAATAATAATTGGTGTCGCTGAGTTGTTCGTTGTAGCCATATTGGTGTAAGGACATAGGCAGGCAAGGTTCTTTGAGTAGATGTTGTATCTTTTATTAGATCAACTGAATAGTTGAAAAAAAGTTCTTAGTAACCTTTTGGGCGCAGTCATCCTTCTTCAGGCACAGGGAGTCTCTGCTGAAACTTGAAGTGTCCACATCTAAACTCATTCTGTGTATCCAAAGTTATAGTTTACCAGGGGTCTAGATCAGACTTTGAGAATGAGAACTCAAAAAAAAATCATATGCACCTTTTCAGGCTGCTTCACAAATGTTAATGCCAAATAGAAAGAAAAAATCCATCAAAGTAGTTCTGTAGTATTCCCATTTTACAGATCAGAAAACTGAGGTTCAGATAAGTGAAATGAGTTCTTCAGCGTCATAGAATCACTGCTAACGTCAAAATTAGATCTTGAGTGCCACATCTGTGCTCTGATTGCTAGACGTTATCATAAATCTTGCATAGAGATCTTAGCCCAGTTCTGAAAAAACTCATACCTTTGAAGTGCCTGCTGCTTCGCATGTAGTGCTGTTAAGTAGACACTTATCAAGGAAGCTGTGTTTCTTTACAGAAAGTGTATAGGAGCTTTGGTTCTGTCTTGACAAATTAGCAAAGTGATCACAAGATCCTACCCTGGCTTCCAGTGATGGTTTGGTGCTTTTTTTAAGTGGTCCTGATCCTACCATTGTCTCGACTGAAAGCTTTCTTGCTTGAAACAGGAGATACAGTGCAGCGTAGTAAGCCATTTCTTCCAACAACACTGAGCTATGTCTAACTGCAGCTTCAGAAACTTGAGCAAATTGGTCAGATTTATGGTCAAACTGAATTTTTGTTAATTTTTTTATCTTAGAGTTCTTTAAAGTGTCATGCATATGGGGAAAAAAATATTATCGTGTGCTTGAATGCAAGTCCCATTAGTGTTTTGCAATAGCGAAAGTATTACTGCCGGTATCATTTCTTATTGCTGGGAAGTTCCTACCTTGTATTTATGACAGGTATGCAGTGTCAAATCACTCCAAAAACAAAACAAAGCAACCAAAGCTTTTCTATCCCCTTGACACACGGCCAAAAGCGTTGTTTTGTAGATTATACCGTTACTTCTCCATGTCCCACCAGTAAGCTGTTGCTATGTACAATAAAACAGGTACCTGTCCATGTTGTATCCAATACTCCACTTTTTTTTTTTTTCAAGAAAGAGTTTGGATGTTCATTGTTGCTGTTTCAATGTGGAAATATTCATTCCAGCATTAAAACAAAGAGTTTAGCTAAAACTCTACACAGTGAATCTTACTGCCATCACTAACATTGATGATTAAATTCTTTTTCTATGACTACCTTTCAAGCCAAGTTTAAGTTTGGGGGCATTTAAGGAAAGCCATGAGAAAAAAAGTCAGTGATCTGAATTGCTCGTTGTGCCATAGCTTAAAAGCCAAATCTCATGCCTGAATACGTGGGGCTTCCACCGCTGCAGAGTAAAAGCAGGCGGTGGGAACAGTATTGCCCCCGCAGTCAGGTTTCTGCAAGTCATTAAATTTGGATTGGGAACAAAACACCCTTGCATTTAGCTTGTGCGGTTGGTTGGTTTTAAAATTTTTCATTCAACTTTGTTGGATACTGTATAAATTAGGCATTTCCGTTCTCCTGTCTATTGGCAGTTGCTGGGGGAACATCGGTAGTAACAAGGTCTATTCACTGATCTCTTGCGTATCAGAAGGGCAGAATGCCGTAAGCTCGTTTTGACTAGTGCTTGGGTTTTCCCTGCTTTCTTTTTTAAAGGGGGAGAAGCTGGATACAAATCGGTGATAGTGTGCTTGATTATTCAGTTCTGATGTTGATAAGTTCCTCTCAAGGACTGGAGGACCAAGCCTTTTGTTGGGGAGAAGAAAAGATAATAAATATGGTTTTGGACCTTACCTGGGGGTGTGTTTCAGAAGTTTTGCCGATATTCCTTCCCGCCCCGCCCCGCCCCGCCAATAACATACTGTCTTTCCTCCAAAGATGATATAAATGTGGATTTAAGGACAAGGATTGCATTTTCCTTTCTGAACAGGCATTAAGCAGTCATGCTTTCCCAGTGCTCATTTTTCACTAATACTGGTTTAAAACTTGATGTCCTTCACTCTGAAGTGTAAATGGTTAGTCAGACCATACTGTGTGTCATCTCAGACCTCGCAACATGCATTTAATACCATTGTAAATAAATGAAGGAGCCTTGGAGAAATTTGAAAGTACGCTTTTGATTTTTCACAAAGCTATAGATAAAAAAAATTGTAATTTTACCCTTTTGATCTAATGTACATTTTTATGTAGCCATCAAATTCTCTATTTAATCTCTCAGTTTCTCTGTATAATGCTGGGCACAGTTTGTAATGTATGTACACAGAGGTGTTTTTTTTTTTTCTATCGATGTTGACTTTTTTGCACATTTTTGAAAAGGTTTAATTTGTACACTGATTTAATACTCTGACCAATTGTTGATGGGTGTATGGGAATCATGTATGTGTGCAATGTACTACTGTCTGGGTGTATGGTTTTTTTAATTACTTTGGAGATATTGCTGTCAGTAACTACACTGCTGTTGCTGCTTTAAATGAAGTATCGTGTATAAAAATGTATTAGCCTATGGTTATACCCTGGTTGAGGAACTCAGGAGTTGAGCATTGCCTACAAGTTCCATAACGTATCTAAGTTTTCCAAACTTACAGTATACTTGTAATTCTCTGTATGCATTGAGTGTGTGTGTGTGTGCTTGTGTATATATCTCCCAATAATCTTATTCCACAGTTTTGTTTCTACATTTTTATGAACTTGTTTTTTAAAGGTACTATGTTTAGTTAGTATAATTAAATATATAAAAGCTTTGAAAGATAATTTACTAGATAAATATATTTTCAGCTGGCTGATGATCAGAAACTATTTTTTTAATTTTGTTTTTAACCATTCAAAATGTATTTGTATTTCCAAGATTGGACACACATTGTACTTGAAAGTACAATAAAACACTCTGGAGGGATGACAGTGAGATTTTCTCTTGTAAGAATTTTTGTAAAAAAAAAAAAAAAAAAA